CAGACAGACACTGCAGCTATGGGTCAGAGTGGGTCATTGTGTATAGAAAGACAGACAGACAGACACTGCAGCTATGGGTCAGAGTGGGTCATTGTGTATAGAAAGACAGACAGACAGACACTGCAGCTATGGGTCAGAGTGGGTCATTGTGTATAGAAAGACAGACAGACAGACACTGCAGCTATGGGTCAGAGTGGGTCATTGTGTATAGAAAGACAGACAGACAGACAGACAGACACTCAGACACTGCAGCTATGGGTCAGAGTGGGTCATTGTGTATAGAAAGACAGACAGACAGACACTGCAGCTATGGGTCAGAGTGGGTCATTGTGTATAGAAAGACAGACAGACAGACAGACAGACAGACAGACACTGCAGCTATGGGTCAGAGTGGGTCATTGTGTATAGAAAGAAAGACAGACAGACACTGCAGCTATGGGTTAGAGTGGGTCATTGTGTATAGAAAGACAGACAGACAGACAGACAGACAGACACACACTGCAGCTATGGGTCAGAGTGGGTCATTGTGTATAGAAAGACAGACAGACAGACAGACAGACACTGCAGCTATGGGTCAGAGTGGGTCATTGTGTATAGAAAGACAGACAGACAGACACTGCAGCTATGGGTCAGAGTGGGTCATTGTGTATAGAAAGACAGACAGACAGACACTGCAGCTATGGGTCAGAGTGGGTCATTGTGTATAGAAAGACAGACAGACAGACACTGCAGCTATGGGTTAGAGTGGGTCATTGTGTATAGAAAGACAGATACACAGACACAGACACAGACAGACCCCAATTACAAATTTTAAAATCTACAGACAGATGGACAGACATTATATAGCTTTATACCAATATAATATAATATAATATAATGAGATACAAACTGAAGATTCTTGTGTAAGGATTTGATGGCACCTCCGTCCCTATACTGTCTTATAACATCTGTCAATGACGGTGATGGATAGGGTTACTTGTTTGCCTTTAATACCATTATTGGAACTCTTTTGTGTCTTAGGTAGTAAAATGTCATTCTTATCTGCATCCTTAATGTGTTATATGACATGGTCATAAATACGATTTTCATAATAAATTTTGGTAAGTGCTTTAAATGTCCCTGCAGGATGATTTCAATCATATCTCGTTCTGTACTAACGAGGTTAGCAACAGTTTAATGTAACGACTGGTTAAAGATCTGACAGTTGTCAGCCAAGTTGAAGCCTGGTTTTAACGATAACACCTAATAAAGTGACAAATTGATTTACTCAGCATTCAAACAGTAACATAGAAGATATGATCGGGGTGAGACTGTCGCTCAGTCCCGCCACCTGGCACCTCACGAGCGTGTCCTTTAGTCCCCCGAGCGTTTTAACCTCATGAGAAGTTGAAAGTACAGTACTGACATAGATCTTTATCATTGTTAAGCTTGTTTTCAACTTGAGGCCTGGAATCTCTCGCAGTTCCCTCTGGTGTTTGTGTGGTACACGCAACTCTCCTGAGAGTTCCTGTCGGAAGGAAAGTTGAAAAGTCAATATAATCAACAACCAAATTTGCGAGGAAGTCCTTTTTTGCAGTTATTTTTTCGAATATGGCCAGATGATACCTATCTTGCTTGAAGCAACAACGGTTGTTATCGTGTCAAACCTGAAAACATTCAGAACAGCTACGAGAGAGAAAATCAAATTGTGTAGCAGACTTTGGACAAAAAGGATATTCTCATTTACAGATTTCTGAAGATGAATGTTGTTGATTGTTGTGGCCCCAGGCTTCCTCCTGATACACACAATTACACTATAAACCTAATTAACAGCACAGGTTTGTACTTCAGCATTAACTCCTGGCGATCTACAACACAGACACCAGTACTTCTATTGGCATAACACAGGGATTAATATTTCTGTTCACCATACACAGGTTTTTAGATAACAAGGACTTGTGTAATATTTCTGTTAACTTTACAAAGGTTTTAGTGAATGTCACACCTGTAAATACCTGTCTATAAGTTCACTTATCTATATTAGATACCTGTAAAGTAAATCCCTGTCTATAAGTTCACTTATCTATACTAGATATCTGTAAAGTAAATACCTGTATATAAGTTCACTTTTTTATATTATATACCTGTAAAGTAAATCCCTGTCTATAAGTTCACTTATCTATATTAGATGCCTGTAAAGTAAATACCTGTCTATAAGTTCACTTATCTATATTAGATAGGTACCTGTAAAGTAAATACCTGTCTATAAGTTCACTTTTCTATATTAGATACCTGTAAAGTAAATACCTGTCTATAAGTTCACTTTTCTATATTAGATACCTGTAAAGTAAATACCTGTCGATAAGTTCAATTATCTATATTAGATACCTGTAAAGTAAATACCTGTCTATAAGTTCACTTATCTATATTAGATACCTGTAAATGATGGTCACCTAAATATGGTTGATACCTGCAGTAAATAATTCACCTCTGATAATAAAAAAAACTCTGTCTATAAAAGTCACCCAGTGCAGCAAAGACATTGTACCTGTCTATAAAGGTCACCTCTAAATAACAAGTACCTCTCTATTGAGATAACCTGTGTAGTAATTACCAGTCTATAAATATTAAGGCCACCCTCATTATTCTCTAATATTCTGTTTCCAGTTCAATGACATCTGTTATACACAAACAAAGCCCTTTTATACAGTGTAACGTTCTGCTATACAATAAGTGATTAGTCAAAATATCTCTGAAGTCTGTTTGGTTTGGTATATTAAGACATAAATCTGAGAGTCTTCAGGCAATATTTCAAAAGCCATGATGTGTCAATTACCACAACAGGTCCTCAAACAAGGTGAACAGTTTATAAAGGATTAAATTAACATATAACTTGTTAAAGCTTATTCAAAAATAGAGTGGAAAGGACAAGAAGTAGGTCATTGTGACCTATATATCCTGAAATAAAAACAAATTGTTACAATTGGGTGACTATGGTTGGCTTTCAATACTTTGCCTTAATTGCTATGACTATTTTTGACGATTTTTGCCTTCATTCTTACTTTCTATTTGTTACTGTCATGTATAAGATTATGGGTGTATGTAGGACTCAATGTAATTACGGGTGTATGTAGGACTCAATGTAATTACGGGTGTATGTAGGACTCAATGTAATTACGGGTGTATGTAGGACTCAATGTAATTACGGGTGTATGTAGGACTCAATGTAATTACGGGTGTATGTAGGACTCAATGTAATTACGGGTGTATGTAGGACTCAATGTAATTACGGGTGTATGTAGGACTCAATGTAATTACGGGTGTATGTAGGACTCAATGTAATTACGGGTGTATGTAGGACTCAATGTAATTACGGGTGTATGTAGGACTCAATGTAATTACGGGTGTATGTAGGACTCAATGTAATTACGGGTGTATGTAGGACTCAATGTAATTACGGGTGTATGTAGGACTCAATGTAATTACGGGTGTATGTAGGACTCAATGTAATTACGGGTGTATGTAGGACTCAATGTAATTACGGGTGTATGTAGGACTCAATGTCATTACGGGTGTATGTAGGACTCAATGTAATTACGGGTGTATGTAGGACTCAATGTAATTACGGGTGTATGTAGGACTCAATGTAATTACGGGTGTATGTAGGACTCAATGTAATTACGGGTGTATGTAGGACTCAATGTAATTACGGGTGTATGTAGGACTCAATGTAATTACGGGTGTATGTAGGACTCAATGTAATTACGGGTGTATGTAGGACTCAATGTAATTACGGGTGTATGTAGGACTCAATGTAATTACGGGTGTATGTAGGACTCAATGTAATTACGGGTGTATGTAGGACTCAATGTAATTACGGGTGTATGTAGGACTCAATGTAATTACGGGTGTATGTAGGACTCAATGTAATTACGGGTGTATGTAGGACTCAATGTAATTACGGGTGTATGTAGGACTCATTGTAATTACGGGTGTATGTATGACTCATTGTAATCACGGGTGTATGTAGGACTCAATGTTATTAAGGGTGTATGTAGGACTCATTGTTATTACGGTTGTATGTTGGAATCAATGTAATTACGGGTGTATGTAGGACTCAATGTAATTACGGGTGTATGTAGGACTCATTGTAATTACGGGGGTATGTATGACTCATTGTAATCACGAGTGTATGTAGGACTCAATGTTATTAAGGGGGTATGTAGGACTCATTGTTATTACGGTTGTATGTAGGAATCAATGTAATTACGGGTGTATGTAGGACTTAATGTAATTACGGGTGTATGTAGGACTCATTGTAATTACGGGTGTTAGTAGGACTCATTGTAATTACGGGTGTATGTAGGACTCAATGTAATTACGGGTGTATGTAGGACTCAATGTAATTACGGGTGTATGTAGGACTCAATGTCATTACGGGTGTATGTAGGACTCTATGTAATTACGGGTGTATGTAGGACTCAATGTAATTACGGGTGAATGTAGGACTCAATGTCATTACGGGTGTATGTAGGACTCATTGTAATTAGGGGCGTATGTAGGACTCAATGTAATTACGGGTGTATGTAGGACTCAATGTAATTAAGGGTGTATGTAGGACTCAATGTAATTACGGGTGTATGTAGGACTCAATGTAATTACGGGTGTATGTAGGACTCAATGTAATTACGGGTGTATGTAGGACTCAATGTAATTACGGGTGTATGTAGGACTCAATGTAATTACGGGTGTATGTAGGACTCAATGTTATTACGGGTGTATGTAGGACTCAATGTCATTACGGGTGTATGTAGGACTCACTGTAATTAAGGGTGTATGTAGGACTCATTGTAATTACGGGTGTATGTAGGACTCATTTTAATCACGGGTGTATCTAGGACTCAATGTAATTAAGGGTGTATGTAGGACTCTATTTAATTAAGGGTGTATGTAGGACTCAATGTAATTAAGGATGTGTGTAGGACACAATTTAATGTTTGTGAATGTTTTACCTGTTTCAGACAATTCCTGGTCTAAGTGCATAGGACTAAGTGTTGTGTTGTGGCATACCTGGATATTAATTATACAGATTCCTGGTAAGTTTGTTTTTATTATCTTGCTTCCCCATCAGACGTAAACTTCTTATATGAGTTATCCTTAGTGAGTCTTGACGGCTTCATTTGTGATTATAAGTTAGTCAATAAAATGAAAACATCCAGACATGCTTCATCACTTTATGTGACAATATTTCCAGGATTATATTTATCAAACAACCAAGAACATGGAATATGTGTTCTATCATGCTACAGCCTTGATGTAGCTTTAAATGTATGATACAGTGTCATGATTGAATGTTGACGTAATAGTACAATTCAAATGTGACATGGGAGATAATTCTCACACAGATGTGACATGGGAGATCATTCTCACACAGATGTGAGGTGGGAGATCATTCTCACACAGATGTGACATGGGAGATCATTCTCACACAGATGTCCCTGGGAGATCATTCTCACACAAATGTGACATGGGAGATCATTCTCACACAGATGTGAGGTGGGAGATCATTCTCACACAGATGTGACATGGGAGATCATTCTCACACAAATGTGATGTGGGAGATCATTCTTACACAGATGTGACATGGGAGATCATTCTCACACAGATGTGAGGTGGGAGATCATTCTCACACAGATGTGACATGGGAGATCATTCTCACACAAATGTGATGTGGGAGATCATTCTTACACAGATGTGAGGTGGGAGATCATTCTCACACAGATGTGAGGTGGGAGATCATTCTCACACAGATGAGAGGTGGGAGATCATTCTCACACAGATGTGAGGTGGTAGATCATTCTCACACAAATGTGACATGGGAGTTCATTCTCACACAGATGTGAGGTGGGAGATCACTCTCCCACAGATGTGAGGTGGGAGATCATTCTCACACAAATGTGGCATGGGAGATCATTCTCACACAGATGTGATGTGGGAGATCATTCTCACACAAATGTGACGTGGGAGATCATTCTAACACAAATGTGACATGGGAGATCATTCTCACACAAATGTGATGTGGGAGATCATTCTTGCACAGATGTGAGGTGGGAGATCATTCTCACACAAATGTGGCATGGGAGATCATTCTCACACAGATGTGAAGTGGGAGATAATTCTCACACAGATGTGACGAGGGAGATCATTCTCACACAGATGTGACATGGGAGATCATTCTCACAGAGATGTCCCTAGGAGATCATTCTCACACAAATGTGACATGGGAGTTCATTCTCACACAGATGTGAGGTGGGAGATCAGTCTCACACAGATGTGACATGGGAGATCATTCTCAAACAAATGTGACGTGGGAGATCATTCTTACACAGATGTGAGGTGGGAGATCATTCTCACACAAATGTGGCATGGGAGATCATTCTCACACAGATGTGAGGTGGGAGATCATTCTCACACAAATGAGACATGGGAGATCATTCTCACACAGATGTGAGATGGGAGATCATTCTCACACAGATGTGACACGGGAGATCATTCTCACACAAATGTGACGTGGGAGATCATTCTCACACAGATGTGACATGGGTGATCATTCTCACACAAATGTGACGTGGGAGATCATTCTCACACAGATTTGAGGTGGGAGATCATTCTCACACAGATGAGACATGGGAGATCATTCTCACACAAATGTGACGTGGGATATCATTCTTACACAGATATGACATGGGAGATCATTCTCACACAGATGGGACGTGGGAGATCATTCTCACACAGATGTGAGGAGGGAGATCATTCTCACACAGATGTGACGTGGGAGACAATTCTCACACAGATGTGACGTGGGAGATCATTCTCACACAGATGCTGATATAATACACATTGTAAAGTCGAATATTATGCCTCCAGCAATATAAAAAAAAGAAAGAATATTAGGTAAACAATATATAAAGTAGGATGAAATATGTGCAGTATCCAATACAGTGAAACCTGTCTAATCCAACACCTTTAGATTTAGCAAAAGAGATTGAGTGTCATAATACACAGATATTATATAAGGAAGTTGTATGAAAAGTACAATTACAGTTATGTTATGGATGTTAGATAACCCAGGGGTCATATAATTCAGGATGTCAGAATATGCAGGGGTCACATTGGACAGACTGTCAGATTACTTGGGCCAGATAAGACGGACTGTCAGAATACTTGTGGGTCAGATTAGACAGACTGCCAGAATACTTGCATGTCAAATTAGACAGGCTGTCAAAATACTTTGGAGCCAGATTAGACAGACTGTCAAACTACTTGTGGGTCAGATTAGACAGGCTGTCAAAATACTTGTGGGTCAAATTAGACAGTCTGTCAAAATACTTCGGGGTCAGATTAGGCAGGCTGTCAAAATACTTCGGGTCAGATTAGAAAGGATGTCAGAATACCCAGGTATCAGATAAGACATTATGTCAGAAAATTCTGGGACCATATTAGACTACTCTATGGTGCAGATTAGACAGGATGTTGGATTACTCAGGGACCAGGTAAGACAGTCTGTCAAATATGCAGGAGTCAGAATAGAGAGGGTATCTGAATACTCAGTGGCTATATTAGACAATTTTCACTGTATAACACAAATATTTTGTCATACATTACAGATATAAGAAGTCCCTGTGATAGTTTTTATCAATCGCATGTTTGTGTCCAACTGTCGTTTTTCATACCTGTGCATTTTTGTTTAGATTAGACTAATAATTGCTATGCAGTATCTTGTGTTTGCTGTGAGTGTTGAAATTGTTTTATTTCAGGTCAGTTGGTATGCTTAGAAATCTTTTTATTCTGCAGATCAATATCTGTAGTCAGGAAATTTTACAATTAGCTCAATCTCTAATTGACTGGAGGAGAAACGTTTTCATTGTGATTAATTTGTATGGTCATTGCCAATCGATTTGTTTGCACTGATAGTGTTTGTTTTGTAGATTAATTTGTATTATAACATTTTATTGCCAATTAATTATATTTATTTCAGCTAAATTTCATTCATCATTGGATACATTAGATACATGTGATGTACATCAAATTCCTTTATCTCATGCACCCCTGAAATTCCATAATAAACTAGTCCAACCTTTGAATTGGAAGAGTTCAAATGTGTCTTCAGGGGTGAATGAGTTAACTTTATATCTGTTCTCCAAGGTGATTTGCTTCACAGAAATCAACAGAGCAAATGAAGCGATGAATGGTTACATACTTTTCAAATATCTGGTTATAAATGAATTTCCAAAATATAGTGAATAAATGAACACAGTAAAACCTGATACCACTGTGCTGGCTTGGTATGCCGTATGGTGATGAAAAATGATATGTTGACAAGAAATGCTGTATTGATAAAGCATCTTGAATTGTCTTCATATTCCAAATATTTACACATAAGTGTATATTACATGTACGCGTAAATATTTGGAATATGAAGAAAAATTAACTCGGATAATTCTTACCAGCCAACCTTAATTTTTGGCACCGAAACTAATCGCACAAGTTTGATGTTTTAAGTAAGTAATTTTACAGCATATGTAGTTGTTTGTAATTTGAATGTTTAACATAGAAACAAAAAAAGGAAACGGAAAACTGCATACAATTTTTAGTTTAAACCCAGGACCTTCACACTGTCAAGACTACACTTTCCCAATGTTTCGATCTATGAAATATAAACAAACGGCATCGAAACGAAAGTCAAATTAATCGGTTTACAACGTTTATAAAAAGTAAATATAAACATTGAAAGATACGTAGCTGGACAGGGGAAGTTACTCTAAGTCTAAAACTCCTTTTGGTGGCTTCATCTTCTTTATATAAGGGAGATTACTCTAAAACTCTAGAGTAGAACTCTTTTATTGTATAAAGTCCTGTGTCTGACTGAATTCGACAATCCTTCTGATCCGGTATTATATAAATGTATTTCTTAACAGGGTACAACCACTTGAAGGAATGAGTGAGTCACCTGTTCATATATACAGCTCTGCAGACCATATGTCACTGCCCTGTTGAAAGAGTTTACCGTCAGACAAACAGTGATAGTAAACCTATACATTTTGCATTAATTAGGTCAGTTTAGGTTAAGTTTATAACTGTAATGTTTAAATACCTGGTACCTCCGGTCTGACATTTTCATGGTTTTAGTTTTAAAGTCATATATCATATACCTGTAATGTTAGTTTATATACCTGTATATAGGATAATGCTGTATAAGATTACCCACCCACCATATACCTGTAATGTTAGTTTATATACCTGTATATTGGATAATACTGTATAAGATTACCCACCCACCATAACAAGTTAGAATCTCCAATAGTAATAAGTGACCCTGTCCCGCCTTCTCCCAATCCCAAAAAATTCTCTCGTTATATAAATAATTATGAATCAAGGGATTCAGGCTGTAGACCATTATAGGTTGTTTAAGACATCTAGTCTCTGTTGATCAAGCCTGGTTAGCTTAAAAAGGAAATTTACTCAAAATTTTCATGCAACATAATTTCAAGAAATGAAAATCACCAATAAAACTTTTGTGTATTTATAGATTCAAGATTGGTTTATTTAGCAAGCATGGTAAGAGTATTTGCAAACTTATGGTTGATTTGGGAAAAAAATGATATTCTGGAAATTTCGGGAAACTTCTGATCAAGTTGGTCAGGCTTGTAACAGTTGGGCCTAGTTGGTACTTGGTATTATGTGTTAAAATTCGTAGTGTCCAACAGATACGACTTCATGTGTCCCCTTGGTGTAGTTACAGCCTACGATCGTAACAGTGTCGACTCTCTCAAGGTTTCTCGTTAGAAATGTCAAGATTACCGTCCGCTACTACAAGTATTCTCACTCAAACATCTACACAGTATTTTATGACACAGAGAGAAATACAAGCAGTTTAATAGATAATTATACTCGCACTGTTACAGATAACTTGTAGCACTGCAAAACTGGCATGCTTTGGCAGCCGTATAATTTCATTTGGGAACAATGTGTGGATGAGTTGTGCATTCTTTTGTGCCATAAATTGTAAAGTGTTGGAATGGTTACTACGCGGACT